AACAAATTAATTAAATAAATCAGATTATTTCATATTTTTAATTTTAAAGTCCATTAGCCCATTTTAATTTGCTCATAACTGCATGACTATTCGAATTTACTCATTAAATTTAAAGCCTTCAAATGAGATAAAATTAATCTTATTGGACGGCTAGTTATTTATTATATGTTTTTGAATTGGGCTACGTTAATTTGTAAAAGTTACGAATGAAATGTCATTAGTTATATTTATGTAGTGTTGCTGTAAATATTAAAAAATTTAATTATGGTACGGAACCGAACCCAAACGGTTCTATAATTATATTTGGACCCGATGATTCCATTTATTAAATACCCGAAGGTTTTGGGTTGGTTCCGTTCTCTTCAAAACCGAATCGAACCAACCCATGGACAGCCCTATCTGAAACACTGGCAAACAGACTTTGATGCTGCAATAGCCACAGGCCGACCAAAATAGCTTCTGATATTCTGACTTTCATTACTATTTTGACAGATTTCATCAACCCATATGGTTGGTTCATTCGGTTACAGTGCTCCTGAGTTTGCCTTATCTGGAATATACACTGTAAAGAGTGATGTATATAGCTTTGGTGTGGTTATGTTGGAGCTTGTGACAGGTCGGAAGCCACTTGATAGGTAAACCTAATCCTAGATGATTTGGCGATAGCAGTTTATTCTCGAAAATTTTTCAGGATTTCTTCACTCTTAATTCTGCCTTTTCCGTTCTCCCTTCTTTTTTCCCTGGCTTGTGGTGCAGTTCAAGAGTGAGATCAGAACAGTCTCTTGTGAGATGGGCCACTCCTCAACTTCATGACATTGATGCTTTAGCAAAGATGGTTGACCCTTCACTAAATGGCATGTATCCTGCAAAATCTTTGTCCCGGTTTGCAGACATTATTGCCCTGTGTGTCCAGGTAAGGTTTGGGTGCCAAAATTATTATTTGCTTGTGGTTAAGTCTTAAGTCTTGGCCTTTTACTGATCTCCAGTGCCTTTTAAATATAATTATCATTTCCCATACAGCCTGAACCCGAGTTTAGGCCCCCCATGTCTGAGGTTGTGCAAGCACTGGTTCGCTTGATGCAAAGGGCGAGCATTGTCCAAAGAAGGTCCAGTGACGATTCAGGTTTTGCATTCAAGACTCCATATCATGAAGCAACTGACTTGCCATAACAAGTAATCCAGCTGTGGTGGCAAGCTTGTCGAATTTTGCACACAATCGTGCAGTGGAAATGGACAAGGACGATAAAAGGAAGCATAAAAATGCGATTATGTCACTTACAGTTCAAGTTTACAGTCCCCTTATTTTGCGATAGGTATACACTTTTCTCCCAATTGTTGACGTACTGGATGTTAACTTAGCTTAATATCGTATTCTGATTGGCAACTCTTCATCTTTAATCTTGCTCACGAGAGAATCATCTCTCTCATCAGCAGTTTCCAAAACTTGAAATAAGTCTTCACATTAATCTCAATTATAGCAATCTGACAGATTAAACTGCATATTGGAAAATGCTTAAAATTTAATCACTTCTAGTCAGTCATATTTTTTATCCACACATTTGGTAAGAATTAAATCTACGACTCCCTTTTATTCATATATTTCATAAGTTCCATAACTTACAGTTGCTTACTTTTAATCTGAATAGAGTCCAGTTTTGGTTGATTTTAACCTATTTTTTAAACTAAAATCCAGAAACTTTTGATTTTATTATTAATCACAATTTAAAAGTTGCATGCACGTTCATGCATACAAGCAACACAACACGACAAATTTCTGTAAACAACTAGTATAAATCATTTTTACGTATTATCTAAAGATGGAAGTCAAGTTACATTATAGCCAGAAAACCTATTCAACCTAAATATGATAGATAACTTCAATTGTTCACAAATTTATTCATATAGTATGCTTCGTTATTTTTGTTAAAATACAACGTACTCTCTGTGAAATCAGATCAACTGAACTCTACAAGTTAAACTTATAAATCGCATTGGAAAATGTCCACTAATAAATATCTAGCACATAGAAATTAAACTAAAGAACATGTTAAAGCATCTTTTGAGAGACTTCAAGTGAGATGCTCATTATTGACAGGTCAATTTTAAAATTTCAAAACCTAAACCAACCCACGATAGCTCGAAACATATTATTGACAGGTCAAGGTTGACCGAACCCGGCAATTTCGAATCGGTTTGACAATTTTTGCTTACACCATAAACCACTGAAGTCAAATACTCCATCATGACGCTGCATTATAAAAACAAACGCTACACATTCAGCAAAATATAGACATGGGAACGGCGGTGGATTCACAAAAATGTCGCCCCAGAAAATGTAAAGCTTTCTCCCAGTAGATTGAATTCGTAGTTGAACAGAGCAGCTATTCAATACGATTTTTTTATACAAAATTTATCTTCAACTTCAAACATAAATGTAGCTTTTAGAAATTAGAAACATCAATCCTCAACATGATAAAACTTTGGTGCCAAATGGAAGTAAACTTTATGAGAAAATGAGAACAAATTTCAGATAGCCAATCACAGTTTCTGAATAACGACTGAATTCAATAACCCGGCTTGCTCAATTGTCTGGTTTGGATCGGCAAGAACCTTGGGAGGAAATCCAACTGATTGCAGCTGATAAGTACTGGTTCCTCCAGGCCTAGATGCATCAATGAAGGAACGGATATCACCTATTGTATGGTGATAGTTGAAGCGTGCTACCATGCGCGTTCCATCAGCCAATCTAAGCTGAATTGAGGTGGAAGGCAGTGATTGATCCACCACCAAGCCTACAGAAGGTGATGGAGCAGTTCTAAGGGGAGCAGAAACAGATGACTCGACCACAGTCTCAGTTGAAGAGCTACTTCCTAGAGTTCTACCCGTACCTTGAAATGGAACCTGACGTTTCTCTGGTTCCTGCAAATACATGAAAGATTAATTACTTATTTCCTTGATTTCTTTAACATTCACAAGCATTTATAACAAAGGTAGAGTCACTAATTCGAAAGTCAAAAGGATTTTCATAAATAGATAAATTGGGTATTTGAACTTGCTAAACTGCCGCTTCTTCTCCATAAATAATATAAAATAGTACATAGCCTCATTTAGTGTGCCGGCATTGTCATTCAAAACTCTCAAAAGTTACATCAAAGGAAAATGTAGATGTGCAATCATGATAAAAGAAATGGAATGAATGTGAAACTCGTGTGCCTATGCCCATAAAAGATAGGGAGGCTTAAGGAAACATAAGAAGATTCAGCATAAACTTACAGGGCAATTCTCATCCCTCCTTATGAGATTCACGTGAACAGATGACTTCCTGTCTGCAGGTTCCAGCTCTTTAGGGCACTCGGATTTTCTGATGCTCTGCAATAAAATGTAATCACGTCCTGAACAACACTCCAAGAATAATATCAAATTATTGTTTCTTTTTGGTTTTGGAGTGGTGCTGTTTATTTTATGAGATGTACACAACTTTTGTATTCAGGAAATTTGTTGTTTTAACAATCCTCCCCTAAACATCGACATGATCAAAGTCATTAAACTAACTTCTCAGCTGCAACGAAAGAAGAAAGAACAAGCAATTCAAAAGGGGAAAAAAATGAGATGCAACAATCAACGAATGCAAGATGTTGAAGTATAGTAGCCGCCAGCAGTTTGTTAGTCGAGCATGATAATCAGAAACACCATTCCAAGAAGATCTAATGTCATATTCCAGTTGCTTCTTCTTTTAAGAACTTTATTAAGTTGTAACAATCATTGCCTGTTACCTCCAGAAAAGGTGCATTTTCAGGATCATCCAACCTCCTCAGAGGTCCATCATTAACAGTGAAACCATTTCTCCAGAAAACAATGTTGTGTACAACTGACTCAGGCTGCTGGGGAGCAGCAGATGGCGCAGTTTCACCCGAGAGTAACCTTCCAGGCCCAGTAAAGCTTCTTGAGCTTGAAGATGGATTCAGATTTTCCAAGGGGCCTTGCACAGCACCCAACTGCCTCGCCTGATCAAAAATTGCATCCACATCATTACCCTTTGAAGGATCTTGGACAAGCATACCACTGCAAATTTTATGATTAATAGGTCAATTGATTGTGATGCATCAGACATATCAACAGAATGAGATTTCAAAAACATGGCGCCTTTTTCCAACAGCAAAGAGGAAGACAGTGAAGGAATGATGTGTGGAGAAAATGATAATATAAAAAAGGTGTAGATCAGATTCAATAACGTCAAGCAACAATAAGCTACCTACCACACTCGGGCCAACAGTTCAAGTATTTGGTTAGCACACTGAGCATCCAAAAAACTAAGGAATACTAGTCATGTTGAATAATTGTGATGCAACGCAGGCTAAATTCAAAGCTAGGCACTTTTCCCTGCTTTGTTTTTACTTTGTTCTTGTTTTTCATCATCATCATCATCTTCTTCTTCTACTTTTTTTTTTTTTTTTGTTTTTTGAAGAATAGATAGAGTAATGATAAACTAACTTAGAACATTAAATCCGATTTGAGTAATCTCTACAACTTAATTTGCACAACTGTAAGTTATAAACTCAAAAGACTACAAGATACAGAAATAAGAAGGCGCGACAAAAGATTGGGTTATGTCCCTAAACCTGAAGCTGACGGAGTACAAATTCCAGTAACAAATTGCTCACCACAACTAATCATGAGCAACCTTGGCGTTTTCACCGAAAAACTAGAGTTTGAATTTGGAATAGGAATTTCATTGAATGATGATATCCTTTCAACATTAATCTATATAACTTACTAATTCTAGAATTATAAAACTTATATTTACCAAGTAAAAGGGCTCAAGAGCAATGACAATCATGCAACTTTGTCCATTTCACATTCTCAATGATATGAAGGGTTATACGATACAGTCAGCTCCTCTAACAATCAAGATTCAATAAATTATTTCAAGGAACCAAAACTATTGCAGGCTGCAATAAAACAACAAAGATTTCTATGCACTAGATTCCAACCCATTTTTATTCTCAACTAAAAACAATGCTACATAGTTTCCCACAACCATCGGAGCGGCAAACTTAAAAACCGTCAAATCAAATTTTGAGAACGAGTTCAAAAAATTGAAAATTTTCTTTTCTTAAGGGCTTGCTTGGGAGTTCCAGCGTACTGGTTGGTTGTGAGCGTTTTTTAAAGTACCGATTTTGAACATTTATGAGCGGACCAATTATAAGTGGTTTTCATAGTGGTTTTTAAAACAATCAAACCCTTGCTTAGGAGTTTATAATCCACCAGTTCTAAAAGTTTTTAAAAAAGTAAAGTTACATATACGTCCTTAGCAAAATCTTGAGTCTACGATTCCTTGTATGACATTGTTTGCTTATAACTTATAAGTCATATTTTACTTGTATGTAGTTTTTTTTACATATAAGTTAATATTTATTTAACTTAAAAAGTTAAATGCAGTTAAATATTTACTTAAAATTTTATGTTATTTCTTAGTTATATATAAACTTTATAATTATAAGTTAATTTTGTACTTCTAAATAACTTTTACGCATAAGTAAATTTTTTACTTATAAGTAACTTTTTATATTTTATAAGTGATTTTTTGTTTTATTAGTAAGATATTTACACAAAAATAATTTTTTATCTTATAAGTAAATTTTTAATTATAATATAATTTTTTTTAATATAAAATTTTTTTTTAGTTAGTATATTTTTATTTATAAGTTAGGATTAAACAAAATATGTTTGTTGAAAATAATTATTTTATAAAGGGTAAAATTAGAAAAGAATCTAAGAAACGACCAAAAACCACAGATTTGGCAGGTTGAGAAAAAGGTCAAAATTATACTACACCGTCTTTGATGATTTTTAAACCATCCAAAACCGATACCCAAAAAATCTAAAAAGCACCGGTTCTTCCAACCCCTCGTAAATGGTTTCGATCAAAACCGATGAAAATAAAACTCCCAAGCAGACCCTAAGGATTTCAAAGCCCAAGAAAGATTATTTAATCTCGTTCAAAATATATTAAGAACTTATTCAAGGCTTATATGAGGTTTACCCCATAATTTTTATCAAGCATTGATGTTAAGATGAAAAATAAAGTCCCTAAATCCCTTTTTAGGCAAAGGCTATGTATCTCGAAGGTGTTTCGAAATGTCAAAGATATGGGTTACAAGTGCTGGAAG